CATTCGTCAGATATTGGAGAAAAAATGGGAGCACAGTGAGACAGTACATCAGCTATTCATAGACTTCAAGAAAGCCTATGATTTAGTTAGGAGGGAAGTATTGTACAATATTCTCAGAGTTTGGGATACCCATGATTCTAGTCAGGCTGATTAAAATGTGCTTAAACAAAACATATGGTATAGTTCGTATAGGTAAACATTTGCCTGACAATTTTCCTATCCAGAATGGTATAAAACAAGGAGATGCTTATCACCACTTCTATTAAACTTTGATTTAGAATATGTTATTAGAAAGGTCCAAGAAAACCAGGTGGGACTGAGATTAAATGAGACACATCAGCTATTGGTCTATGCTGATGATGTGAATCTACTGGGTGATAATATATATACAATAAAGAGAAACACACACACACTTTAATTAACACAAGTAAGGAGGTTGGTCTAGAAGTAAACACAAAGAAAACTAAGTATATGTTGCCATCTTGTCATCAAAATGCAAGGAAAATTATGACATAAAGATAAGTAACAGATGTCTTGAAAATGTGGCACAGTTCAGATATGATATGTATACAGTGGCCGTCTTGTAGTGCACTCAATTTCACCCGTTACTTCACGACATGTTTCGGCAACATAGTGCCATCATTTTTTATAAAGACATATAAAGGCAAGCAATGCAATAGATTAGTGTAATTAGGGCACCTGATGATGGCACTATGTTGCCGAAACATGTCGTGAAGTAACAGGTGAAATTGAGTGCACTGCAAGACGGCCACTGTATATATATCATGGATGAAAATCAGTGCAACAGGACGCTAAAATACAACAGTTCAGATATTTGAAAACGATGATAACAAATGAAAATCTGATTCAGGAGGAAATTAAGAGATTGAACTCGGGTAATGCTTGCTACCATTCAATCCAGAACATTTTGTCTTTTCCTCTGCTATGTAGACACATAAAAATTAGAATATACAAAACTATAGTTTTGCCTGTCATTCTATATGGGTGTGAAACTTGGTCTCTGACTTTGAGGGAGGAACATAGCCTGACGGTGTCTGAGAACAGGATGCTGATGAGAATATTTGGACCGAAGAGAGATGAAGTGACAGGAGGTTGGAGAAAACTACATAATGAGGAGCTTTGTAACTTGTACTCTTCTCCAAGTATAATTAGAATGATCAAGTCAGGGAGGATGAGATGGGCAGGGCATGCAGCACAAATGGGGGAGAGGAGGAATGCATATAGGATATTGGTGGGAAAGCCGGAAGGAAGGAGACCACTGAGAAGTTCAGGACATATGCGGGCAGAAAATATTAAAATAGATCTTAGATAGGATGGGATGATATGGATTGGATTGATCTGGCTGAGGATAGGGACCAGTGAAGAGCTCTTTTGAACATAGTAATGAACCTTTGGGTCCCATAAAATGCTGGGAAGTTCTTGAGTGGCTGCACAATTGGCAGCTTCTCAAGAAGGGCTCAGCCCCATGAGTGAGTGCTAACACTAAAATGGAAAAATATGTAGATCAGCAATAGCGCTCTATTGCCTGTATTTAAGTGTAATTAAGATAGTGTGTGTAACCGAAGTGCTAATAAATCCAATCATCCAAACCAGAACCCATCATCTTTGTCGCATGGGCCACCCTACACTAAACAATATATATAAATTTACAGATAGTTATCCCACCATACTCATGAATTTGTAATTAAAATTTAATTACTGTCAAGCTCTGAAGAGTAAGTTATTAATTCATTTTCTTTCCTACTAACTTTCTTACTCCCCTCCTCACCAGCCAGCATCTTCTATACAGGTTTCCCAAACATCCTACTGGTAAAGGTAAAAAGAAGGTAAAGCTATCCTGGTAACAGGCCGTGAAGGCCCATAGGGTTGTGAGATGTCAAGGCTCCCACATTTTCTCTAGACAATTGGCTCACAGATGGCAGTAAGATTGTCAGCCTTACGTGCCAGCACTTTTTAACCCCAGGAAGATTCCTGATACTCATTTCTGTTAGAGGCTGTGTCGACCCCAGGACCATAGTGCAGCTGGAAAGATGAGGTAAACTGAAAAAAAAAATCCACCTCATCGGGAATCAAAACCATTGACTGTCCAACTTGTAGCACAGTGCCTCAACCAACTACAAGGTGTGGCAATAAAGAAACCGGATTACTGTTATGACTCATTTCCGGCCACGTCATTGACGAAGAGGAGGGTAGGGCATTGACCCTTGGACTTCCCTCTACCGTCACACAAAGTTTCATTCACGTGCATCGGTTAGTCTGGCCGCGACCATTGTTAGAAGCGGATCGTGTTTCTGAGCTCCGTCGGAATAATGCTGAGTGCTAATGCAGAACAACGTGCTAACATCAAATTCCTCACAAAACTTGGAAAATCTGCCACTGAAACTTACAATTTGTTGACAGAAGTATATGGTGATCAGTGTCTAT